AATAATTTAGAACATATTTAGATATTTTACTAATAATCTACATTTTACTGGACGTCAAACTGATCACAAACGTAGAAAGAAGATGTTACTGCCTGATATTAAGGCCGGCGTTAATGAATTGATATACTATTATGTATGCTGCTCATAAGAAATACCTATGTGATTGTTTTCATAATATCATGCAACCATAAAAATAATTACATAGAAGTATTATTTTCATTTCGATTCAAACATCATTAGGGTACAAATATTGCAATTTTCTTTATTTGTACACATTTGATATGTTACAAGAAAGAAGAACATGAATTAAAAATATGGCGTCACCGTACTCGGATGGAAAAAAATCGACCAATAAAATACAGTGAAAATCGTATGTTTTGACTGTAGGGCATTTTACCATTATATGTTTTTGAAGAAAAAATGTATTTTCATTGTCATCAATGGAAACCGCTGCTAAAGTGGCATTCAGTTGTATGTATAATATTTTACCATTTTTCAATAAACAGATTGACAGTGAACCAAAATAATTCCCATACAGACTAATAATTGTAGACAGATTTTGACACGAAATATTGTCACTGTAATATGCTCTAAAATATGTGCATAAATAATTCACGAGTCGCATCCTACTTAAATGTAGCAAAATTAAAACTGAATCATTATCGAATACCATAAAAAGTATGGCATTAAAAAAAAAACACGTACACTACTGACCATATACGCCGTTGCGAGTAACTACTTCAGCATTTGCAAACTAACTGATTTCACTTATGTTGGTTTCATACTACACATGTGTTTCTGAATTGACGACCAGACCGTCACGTCAATTCACCATGGTGAATCGTGATGACACATGAGTTTAATTACTTAATTAATTGAACTGTTCGCTAATAATTTCTTATTTGATTGTAGTCGGCGACTCACTCAATTTCATTCAGTGTTTCATCCTATGATGTATTCAGTTTAAAACAACAGACTTCGGATTGTGAAGAAACCAAAGACAGATGCACATTTCAAGTTGTCGATATTTTTCGAATACTTAGACTTGTATACTAATCTTTTATTTATTTGTTGGTGTTTGTTTTAATAAAATAAAATGGGAGTTTATAAATGACGAATACCACATTTGCAGGTTACCCGGATTTTGCCATTATTTACAAGGCATTAGCATGATTATTACAAAACATCAAACATTTTTACAAGAGACTGTATGCAAGTCTATTAAATTATTATTCCCAGAATTCCTTCCAGTTAGACATATAATTCAGTATCGTCACGGTTGATTGTCGTGCAAGTGTCACAACTATATACACAAATGGTATTTATCTGTTTTACTTCCGTAGGCACAGGCTACGTATTACTGTGGCCCAACTTCAAAGTAACTAAAAATTAAATACTAGTGAATTTACCAGTATAATTATCCTATCTTGTATACTATCTCTATTTTTCAGTAAAATATCATTCGAATTATGTTGGGATATGGAATATCTAGAGGGATGTGTTATCACAGATGTATGGGAACATCTGATTAAGGAAGGAAGCAAAAATGTTACTACTGGTAAAATTCCGGGCTGTGTCATGCTGCCACTTTCCACAAACCTTCATTATTTTGCCCAACCATTTCGATCAAGACACGTAGCCAATGCGATTAACCAGTGCACAAATGCGCACACTGTGTCCCCAATATCATGAGTTGGACAGAGATCGAAGGATTAAAGTACTCGGATCCGGCAGGGGCGGATCTAGGATTCTGGAATAGGGGGCCGATAAGTTGGCCGAAGGCCAAGTTCGCGAGCTCCGATGGCGCGAAGCCCTGTTGGTTGTTAAAAATAGGGGACGCGGCCTCCTCGCTCCCCTCTAAATCCGCCCATGGATCGGTGCGCGCATAATTACATTCTGGTGCATATGAGCTCACACTACTATTTGGCATAACGAAGAAAACAAAAATACTACGTTTGCATTGATTTTTCTTCAACTTTTTAAATCAATCAATAAACCCAATAAAGTATATACAATGTTCAATGTCTGGAAAACGACAAAAATGATATTGACTTTATGATGGCCGATCAGAGGTAGAGCATTGTTTCTGAGCATGCTCGGTAAATGAGTGGCCTTGTTGGAATGGTCACTTTTTACAGATACTGTAAACATTTTGAAATAGGCATGTTTTACTGCAGTCTTTCAAGATTACAGCTGAGATTTACGGGATAGTTTCATTCCAGGCTTGTGATATCATTTGTCCATTCTCTGCGTCTCAGTACTCTCGGGCCAACGCATCCTCTGAAATAATCCTCCGTCCCCTAACGACCAAACCTGGTCGTGTAGTACTTATAAAAGGGAAAATACTAGTATTACCTGTATTAAATGTGATGTATCAGTCGTGGTGTACGCATAAGCATGGTTACCTAACAGATTAGGAAAATTACATACACCAAAGAATGACGAAAAAAGCTCGAATTGAGATTGATAACGTAGATCACACTGTTTAACTACCCGAGAAGTTATAAGTTCAATACAAAGTTCATCATACAAATCTATTTCCTTAGCTTATTGTTCTTGTCGGTTAAAAAAAATGAAAGACTAGGTGTAAACGTTTTTTTGTTCATGAGTGTAACGCCACCAACGGCAGGAACATTATTGCCGACAATAATCCAGGAAGCAGCGTAATTCAACAGTATAAACATGCCTTTGGTAGTTGAAAATATCATTTCGTACGATATGCCAGTCTTCAGATATGCAGCGTGTCTGTCACGTGTATATGCGATATTTGAAATTAAGCTACCAACTAAACTGTCACGAGTATGAATTCTGCGATAACACATCATTAATACAGAAATGGTTGGAAAAATATGTACACAACTATACAAACAAATTTATAATAACAATGATAAGTATATAAGTTTTTCATAAAAAAATGTCTTTAGACTTACACGTATTTCTCTAAACAATGACATCAGCATAATTATACGTGTCTTTGGTGATTATGCACCTGGGTTTTGATGTTTAATTGTGTTTTCGATAACATTACATCACGAGTTCCACTAGCGACTAACTGTGATTTTGTCCGGTCGACGGACGTATTCCCGTTTTAGAATATAATTTGTTTGTTCGCTTTTTATAGTACATTTCACATAAATTGCATGGTGACAATTGCATCCATGAGATTGCTGTCAAAATTGAACAAAATTAAAACTATTTTAGTTTGGAATAATTTAGTAACAGCAAAGTGTATTGTTTGATTGATCAGTAACCATCTATAGTCGACGTATATCTCAATTAATATCACAAACCCCTATATCAATAAGCTGTAAAAATGGTTGTCATTCAATACAACAACGCCGCTGGAGTAGTTTATTATATTGCGTTTACTTCGAATGTGGACAATATTTCCAATGCAGAAACATGAAAACAAATTGCGCATGTTGCCCCGGTCATAAAGCGGCGACTAGCTTTCAGTAGAATGAAGTTCTGAGATATTATTGTCATCAGAGTGGTGATCCTCTGAATATGGCGATGAGTCGGCCTGTGGCTGAACATCTTCGGCTCTGCAGTTCATAACTTCTTCGTAGGTTGGTGGTGACCCCGGAGCCTTATCCTCTTCTTCCCGGGAATCCTGTCTACTGGCGTAGAGTGCTACCGCCGAATAATAGTCTGGGGGAGGGTGTAAATCGAAAGAGTACGGAACGGTTCCTTCAACTGCGATTCCAGTGTACAGCGATGGTACTACTTCATTTGGGTCCAATGACGATTGACTTTGCGGAGTTCGGATTTCACTCGCATCCCTACCTCTTTCTGGCGATGATTGTCTTCGGGAGGATATTCCTGAAAACAAGATAGAAATTTGAGATAAACCAAACGGGGATGTCTCCCGAATAGGACTGGGGTCAAAGGTGACAGAAAAGCAAAACGGTGGACGTATCCCTCACCAGACACCAAATGACCCTAAGTTTATCTTACAATTGTCCGACAAAAATTTAAAAAAATACAAATAATAAACAATCCAATTCCCCAAAAGTGGACTATAACCAGCCTCTACCCATATAATGGTGTTTGCCACTTGACCTATCACAGTATTGACATAATTTCCTATTTTGGTACCGGTATTACGTATTTCACAACCTACTAGTATCTTACATATTTTATGGGTTAGATTATAGTTCTTGTCTGCCCAATCGATCTGACACATTAATTAATCATCATAGACTAGACTAGACTAGTTTCTATGGTCCACAAGGGATTGCGACAGTTTTGCTATTTTTATTTTTTTGATTTATGTTAACATGTAAATATTCTAGAAAGATTAATTGCAATGACTATGTACCTTCGCTATATGGAGAACCTCTTGCGTTTCGTCGATGAGATAGTCGAATCATTCCCCAGAGAATTAGACCAATCATCGCCGTGCTTGTAATCAGACTAAGAATCAGCGAAATCGTGTCATCGTGGCTGCTTGTTGTATCTATATATAAAACAAATTAAATGTATGACTACTCCCCGGACGTTACAAGTTAGGGTTTTCTTACATTACTTCCAACATTAATTTGTGTAGAGTTTTGACAATCCGATAGCCTCGAATTGATACTACTACCATGTTATGTGGTTTCATGAGAAGATTCTCGTGCAATGCTGGTTCCGGCGATTTTCTCTACAAAACAGATGAATTCGAGTTGGCTGGACGATAAATAGAGGCATTACATCAAACAAAGAAATTAGCAATAAATTGGACAATAACTCACGTCTTTATTTATAATTACAATAATTATGATAATAACATCTTTATTTACAATTTTGTAATTAATATGTTCCTTAATGGTAGGAATCCCTAAAGGACCAGAATAATTTACTCTCGTCGCCGAGCGTTCTTACCCCAGGATAGATGTGGACTATAAGTTATACCTACCATCAAGTAACTCGCATCGGTAACCATGGTAACCATTGGAACATTTGCATAATGGTTCTCCATTGTGAAGTCTGCAGGATCCGCCATTTTCACATACTATTCCACACGAAATCCGCTGGATAGTTTCCGTTTTAGTTAAATTGTTTTGTCCCGAAGTGGTGGTGATACCAGTTCCTAAATATGAAGTTACCAAAATGTAATGAGATAGCATGGAATGAATTAGATATAGACAGCCAGACCAATAACAGCTGTATACTACACATGATATACGTAGCATGCACCCACAAGGATCCTGGTATAGTTATGTAATGAATATAATTACACTCCCATATCGACGACAGCTCGTTATAAGTTTATATGAGTTTATACACGACTTATTACTACCGAATAAATATACAAAATGGCGCACATTCATGGAGGATATTTCATAACAATTATGTTTGCGCTCTGGGTGTGGTTTTCATTAATCGTGTTTGACTAATAGCGTAGAATTCAATATTTTTATATCAAATCATACAAACATACAGATATGTCTGTATGTGTAGAATTATGTTTTGTTTGAACATTCCAATATTATTTCAGAATGTTTAGCACATGTTAAACAAACACGCCATAATAATCATTTCTAGTTGAGATCTCATAATCATAGTTTGTAACGTTGTTTTGGCCGCTGGACGGTCATTATATATTAAAAGAAACGACAATTGAATTATGTACCTTTAGTAATCGTTATACAGAAGTGAATACAACAGATCAACTTGATAAGCAGAATAAGAGAAGAGTTGAATCTATCCTCTACAACGGCCATGGTTGTGTATCTGAAATAAATGACGTAGTATGAAACTAAGACATGGCGGGTCGTTATAAACTAAAGAGAGATGTCAATGAAGACGGCAGATATAGCGAAAATTGTTCGAAGAACCCGGTGTATAATGTTATCAGTATAATAATTTGTTGTGTCATAGAGCAACGAATCCATCCACCCCATCCCATTGGACTCCCGACTCCGTATTGTTTTCGATTACGCAAGTGTCAAATTCTCGTTCATATAATGTTATTTAATATGTTCAAATGTCATTAAAGGTTGTAATTATATTGAGGGGTTCATTCGACGCAAAAAGATGCAATGTTGTCATCACTATCTGTTGTTTACCAGCTAGAATCCTAAAAAAAGAGACTTCAAAAACAAATACCAAGAAACATTGTCTTTGCCGGTCAGTGAATGGAAATATGGGTGAATGAAAATTTAAATAAAATAAACATTTATTTAATACAATTAATTAATTTATTTTTTGCAAGGTAAATGTGTTTGCAAAAGCATACACTAGTAGCCAGACACATAACGCAATACAAAACAGTCACGCGTCATTGATATCCAAAGATAGCCTGAATTAATTATGCGACATCGATAATGAGCGACGTAGTTCTGGTTTGTGTGTTTGTATTCTCTCTACTCCAATTTCACTGCATTCGCACACGAAATATTTATTTGGTTCCATGACTTCACTAACTGTTAATAATGAGCAACACCGTCAATTAAAACCTTAATTTAATTCAACATTATGCAAATCAGCGATACAACCAGACGGTCGGCCTTGACGGTATAGTATAGATGACAATATGACATCATGCGCTCAATTAGTATTAGCATATTATTATTCGTGTTTTTCAGATTATTTTCAGCGATGTGCATGCTCTCGAAATGGCTGCCACGGTGCAGTGCATCATATGTTCTAGGCTGTCTGAATAAACAAGCAAACAATACGGACGAATACCGTATATTATTATGTTGACGCATAATAAATATAGAGCACTGTATTTCACCAAATTGTAGCTATTAGCGACAGTGACTCAGGTTGACAATAGAGTGTAACTGTTTCAACGATTCCCATATATCTTTTACGTTTGTCCAGTAATGGTTTTCACACACAAATGTAATAATATGTGGTATTATAATGGAGGACGGATATCGAGTGACAGACTGCTGATTGTATAGCAGTACAGCGAGTGCGCTTACTTTATCTTTCACAGCGTCGCATCCATCCATACATGCGCATCTTCTCATTCCGTTAATCTTCCCATCGCACCAGGCGTACAGTTAATAAAAGAAGTCCATATTAGCAGCTGAATCGGAATACTTGCATAACACTGCATATCTGTGTTTTGCGGATCAGACATACATATTCTGCATGCAGCAGGACCGTTTTATTACAACACCCGTCAGTGGAGCATGCGCACACAGAGCGCTGTCAATGACCCCCGGCAAAATATATTTTAACAAAAGTGTGTCAGTCAGTACTGTATTGTACATTTGTATTTACTTGTCCTTTAATTATTTAAAAAAAAATATTCACGACATATTAGAATTATGTAAAGTTACGATATGAAAATTTGTTTCAGTCCAAAAATCGGACCACGGGTTGCTATAACGTCCGACACTGATGCAGCCCGTCTCTGACCCAATTCCATGAGTGTTAAGAGTTGAGTGTTGACCGCTTTATTTCATACACCACGTATATAAATAAACGCATTTTCTCTGAGCTACTAGATATTTTTTTTATTGCAGGCGACGTATACTAGCATGTACAAGTCAAGATGCGAGTCAGTTCTTTGGTGACATTCATAGACTCACGTCAACGTCGACGCCGTGGCCGGTGAGATGAATACATGTCTCAGAGAAAAAAAAAAGACACATTCTTACCTTAAAAAAAAACGAATGTTACAGTTGAAGCAAAAAGTCTCTCACACACACCATACATTTATTATCTTATTCAAGTGCCTGACATACTGCCGACACGACGCATAATTGAATAATTTGTAGGCATATCTTTTGGAAATTGAATGTAATTTCTCTGTCATTTTTTGCTCAATTCACACGAGGCGTTCCCGACGTGTTTACCGTATTTACCGTGAATGCATTTGTTGTCAAGGTATCTAGTACTTTATGGTACAATATGAAATTAGTAGGTCTTAATCTGTATCAATAATTACGTTCACGGGAGATGCTTATGAATTTCATTCAACTGTTGAATTGAGAACTAGTTGGAAACTGATGCGGCTCAACGCCCTCACGGAGTTTGATATCGGCGAAGTCAAGAATCGTATTGAGCAACAAACATCCGTAACATCTAAAACATCTGCAACGATAATTCACGTCACGCAGTAATCGGGGCGTCGCCCCAATGCACGGTTTCGCGAACTCGATGTAAACATACCCCCCCCTCCCCCCGGAACACGTGGTGGGGCAATGGCACTGAATAAACCATCCAATTTTGTACGTCACTTTAGACAACAATAGCACATTTTCCTTTATTACTGTTTCAGCCTTTTATCTTGTAAGCCCATATATACGTGTTGAAATGAGTATACGACGATTTTATGATTCCCATAGTACCCACAATTACCCACAATGCTATACGGCATTAGACTTTGGTTACAGCGAACTAGAGTGAAACTAAGCGAACTACAAACAGCAGCTAC